AGTACACAACTCAAAAATAACAAACGGAAAAAAAAACGTAAATTCACTTACATAAATCCACTGTTCGAAAATCCACTATTTAAAACGTAAACCACTACTATGTCCAGAAAAAAAGTGCAAGACCAGTACACCACCACCAACAAGGCCATCTCTATTTACGTCGGTCCTCAATCTCCCCACCTAAAGTAGAAATTGTTAACACTTTATTAATGGAATATTCTTTTAATTTCTTAAAGGGTAAATAGCACTTAACCCCCTGTGGTTTCGCTATTTCGCACATGACCCCCTTGTGGTTCTATAATGAGCAAATAACCCCCTATGGTTGTGAGTGGGTAGCTTCCGTCCAAATCAGTAACAGAACATCATAAATATCTATTTTACCCTTCTATAATATTACATTACCCGATCCTCGAAAAAAAATTTACTTTACCCCTTCAACAACATTCGAAATTAAGATAGACAAAACTCAAAAAATTAGGGCTTCACTTCTAATACCGTTCAATTGTCGGCTGCAATTTCATACAGAAAAACACAGAGGACGACTAAAATTATGAGGACATAACAACATAGTTTCGTGCAGCTTTGAACAAAAAAATTCGCAATGGCAAATTTGAGGTAATTTTTTGATTCAAATATTCTTTTTTTTTTTATTGTCAAGTCATTACCCAAGATTGATTAGTTTTTTATTTTTATTTTTTCGAGTTATTTGTTTGCAAGTGGTTCCATGTATTTATTTGGGGATAACCACCACTTTTTCATGTTTATAGTTTACTGTTTATTATTTAAGTCTTTAATGTTTACTGTTCAATTTTTTTTTTTTTGAATATTTTATCGTGTGTTTTCTTATTATTTATTGTTTAGTGTTCTGTATTTTTCATTGTTTACTGTTCTTTATTGGATACCCAAGATTTATTGATTAATTCTTTTTTATTGAACATACAGAATGTTTAATGTATTTATTTATTATGTTTTATATCTAAATGCGTGTTTTTCTTAATTTCAGCAACCCAGTTACATTAGAGATACATCATGGTGGAAGTTTTGTTTGGAAGCCCAACATCGAGTATGTGGGGGGTGAAGTGAAGTCTCTTTTGGACTGTGATAGAGAAAAATTATCATATTTTTACTTCCAAACACTATACCATATTTTGGTAGGGAAAAATGAACCATGCTTAGTGTACTACAGATTACCAGGTGTATCATTGGAGAACGAACGGCTTATGTTCTTTGAAAACAGATATTGACGTGCATGCAATGGTTGATGTATATGATGGATTAAATGTTATTTGTATGTATATGGTAAAAGAAGCAGAACTTGATGGTGGACATGTTGGGACAGAGATTGGGAGTGAAAGACAAAAGGATATTGTGGTAATTCCTATTGATGATGATATTGAAAAACAAGGTGAAGAAGAAATTGAAAGAAATTGTGACAAAACTGTGACCAGTGAAGATGAAGAGTTGGAAGACGACGAGGACAAGCCACCATCTGTACTTAGTAGTGCCCCTAGCTGGTATGATGAAGGTATAGAGATGCCAAATGATGATATATTTGGGGTTGTAGCTGAATCTGGTGGCCTTAATTTTCTTTCTGATGATTGATTCTCCGATTCTGAAGATCCTACACAAGCGGAAGAGCTGAGAAGTTTGAGTAATTCTGAAGATGGTGAAATGAAGAGAAAAGAGATTGCCAATACTGATGAGTTTAATGAGGTGTGTTGGTCGAAAACCTACACGCAAGTGCACGTATCGTACAAGTAATATAGTGGACTAAAAGTCCGGATATCGAACCCACAGGGAATATTTAATTATCTAATCCTAGACGCTAAATTCTACCAATTATTATCAAGCCCACCCTACACAGTCGACTTTAAAGAGAATTAACTAAATTAAAATAAATTAAAAGACAGGCAAAAACAAGAAAGCAATTTAAAACGAAGATTTAATCAAGATAAGCAAGCCTAGGATTTTATTCTTCCCCCTATGTGATTATTACTCCCCCAATTCCTTCAATTATGCAAGCAATTAACCCGGATTATTAACCTGAGATGCTAAAATAATCATAACCCGCTTCCGCGTGTATTACGATTCTAATACTCTAGATTCAATTACTATATTCCTATGCAATTAATTCTAGAACACAACATTAAGCACAAATCTCAATAATGGCTACCTAAGAGATTAACTATATTCCTATGTTAATACCACAAAGGCTCTTCTACCACAGTTCTAATTATTAACCCGATCTTCCGATTCATGCGATTAACAATAACATAAAAGCGCATAAAGTGGCCAGTTTCATGAACTTAATAAAACAAGTAGAAGAAATAATCCGGAATTAAAACTTGCATAAAATCATAGAATTGGGTTCATAAATCCCACATAGGGTTCCAAATAAAATCCTAGAAATAAGAAATTTAGCTACTCATGATTAAAGGAAAAACACAAATAAAATAGATCATAAACGATAAATCTTTGCTTGAAGTCTTCGAATTCTTCGTCTTCGTTATTGCTTTGTTGCTCTTGAAATTTTGTAAAAAAGATCCCTAATTGTGTGCTTGGATTGGTCTTATATAGGGTGAAGAACTTGGGGAAGAAGGCAGTTTCCTTGTGCAATTAAAATCCCTTTACTGCGCAACTTCGGAGTATGGGACGGGGGTCCCATAATTTGCACTAAAACTGGGACGGGGTCCGAGCCTTGTTTCTTCAGAATTTTGATTTTTTCACTTTTGGCCCATATTTTCTCCAAAATTGCAGTTTTGACCCCATACTTTTCCAATTCTTCAATTTGTACCGGAAATACAATAAATCAACTTTTTAAGCATCAATTATCGTTAAAACACACCAAAAGCTCAAATAAAAAGGTACGATAAAGTGTAAAAATATACACTTAACAAGGTGACCGGCATGAAAAATCCAACTTTATTTGTTGGATTGAAATTCTCGACAGCACAAGTATTCAGAAAAGCTACGGTGAGATGGAATGTAATAAGAGGACATGATATCGAATACATAAGAAATGAGAATAAGGTGATAACTGCCAAGTGTAAGTATGAATGTGGGTGGAGGATACATGCATCTCCAATTGGTCGAACATCAACATTTCAGATTAAAACTTTTTCTCCAGAGCACACATGTGGAAGAAATCATGAAAATCAATTTGTCAATTCCAGATATCTAGTTGATGAATACTTGGATGATTTGAGAGATAATGATGAAATGAGAGTGAAAACAATGAAAAGGAAGGCCAAAAGAGATTTGAACGTAGAAGTCGGCAAATGGCAACTTTATAGAGCACAGGTAAAGTGAAACAAATGGTGGAGGGCGACATTAAGAAGCAATTTGCATTCTTGAGGAATTACTGTTCAACAGTGATGCAACATAATCCAGGTAGTTGCTTCAATATTCAAACAGTTCAAAATAATGTTGAAACTAGTGGGGAGCATAGATTTTTTAGATTGTATATTAGGTTAGCTGCACAAAAAGCTGGATATTTGGCTGCTTGCAGGCCCATTGTAGGCCTTGATGGTTGCTTTCTTAAAGGCTTTGCTGGGGGTCAAATGTTGAGTGTTGTTTGTAGGGACGGAAATGATAACTTATTTCCACTTGCAATAGCTGTCATAGAATCTGAGTGCAAGGATACATGGACATGGTTTCTCACACAATTTCTCTTTGACATGGGCGGGGTTCAAGAAAGAGGATGGGTTTTCATATCTGATAGACAAAAAGAACTTGTTGAGATCATTAATGAGTTGATGCCAGGTGAGAAGCACAGGTTTTGTTTGAGGCATATGTATGCCAACTTCAAACAAAAATACAAAGTCAACGAGTTAAAAGATATGTTCTGGAAATCATCATCTACTGCTAATCGGAACGATTGAAAATGTGCTATGGAGGATATTATGAAAGCTGATCCGTCAAAACTTGTTAATGGAGAGGAGGGTGAATGTTCTTTCAGCTGGTTAATGAACACGAACCCTTAGAATTGGGCTAGATCACACTTCAGCACTAGAGCCAAGTGTGATATCCTAGTCAATAACATGAATGAGTCATGGACTACATTTTAGATGCAAGAGATATGCGCATAATCCCAATGTTGGAATGGATTAGAAAAGCTTTGATGACAAGATTTCAGGTGAAAAGGGCTGGCATGTTGAAACATAATGGAAAAATTGGTCCAAATATTTTCAAGAAGCTGGAAAAAATTAAAACAGCAAGTGGTAATTGTTTTCCAACTTGGTCAGGGGATGGTCTTCGAAGTTGAATGTTACGAGGAGGTTAATGTTAAACAATGTTCAGTGAATTTGGAAGCAAAAACATGTACATGTAGGATGTGGGATGTATGTGGAATTCCTTGCAAGCATGCAGTTAGTGTTATATTCCTAAATAAACAACAACCACAGGACTCTCTGCACCCATGCTTCAATAGAGATGCTTACCTTGCCACTTACAACTTTCAAATATTTCCAGTGCCCGAGGAGCATGATTATGTGTCAACTGGCTTGCCACCATTATTACCTCCTATTATGAAGAAGCAACCAGGAAGGCCTAAGAAAAGGAGAAATAAGATTGCTGATGAGCTACCTCCAACCACGACAAGCAAACATATTGATCCCTCCAAAGTGTCGAGAAAGAACTTGCCAGTTACATGTGCCAAATGTCTCAAAATAGGACATAACAAAAGAGGGTGTAAGGGAGATATGCATCCCAACTCTAAGTTGTTGAAGGTAAAGTATATATATTTTATTGAAAAATAATTTTATTATTGTTTACTAATTTTTCATTATTTTATTGCAGCTTAGAGATCTCCATCAAAGTGGAGTTAAAAGAAAGGAAAAAAGATAATCAAGTAGTTGGCTCTCGGGCTCAATTCCACATTTATTATAAACTATGTTTTAGTAACTTAAATTCTTCGGATTGTAATAATATTTGTATTTCCTTACTTGTAATACAGAATCCATTCACATCAAGCAATTCATTACCATCCGAGTCTGCTAGGCCACATTCTTCATCCCATCCTGAACCTCAATTTCAGGTTTGTTTTGAAATCTTTGAGGATGTATTTTAATTGTATATCTTAATTTATCGATTTATTTTGTTCATAATATCTCACATTTTGATATTCATGATTCATAATCTATTTTCCCAGCAACCTATTGTACAGCCAACTATAGTTCATGGACCTAATGGTGCAATGTTCCAGATCGGTGGGAGGAATAACCAGCAACAAGGAAAAGGGCAAGGAAAATTATCCAAGCCAACTTGGAGGATCTAAAAGTCAATGTGGACGTGTTTCGTGTTAATTGGTAGCTTTTTTGAATTAAAAAACTTTGACCTTGTTATTTATTATATTTTTGGAATTCTCTGTAGAGATTGTTGGAAAGACCATGAGTTTATTTTGGCAAAGCATTTTGGTTTATAATGTTATTATGAGGTTTCTAGTTTGCTGAAAAGATTTGATCTTTTTTGTCAACTGTATCATATTGTTATGAGATTTTTACTTTTGTTGTTTGGTTTCCTGTTTTAGTTTTTGGTGATCTGTGGAATGTTGTTGTGGTTTTCAAATTTTGTGTTATTTGGTTTCCAGATTTTGTTGTTTCTGAGAAGTTTATGCATAATATTAGAGCAGTAAATTAGAACGATGATGTGGGTTCATTTGAAATTTCTATTCACTTGTGTCAATGTATCTTTGTATAATTATCGTGGAAATTACCAAAAGCTTTTTAAAGCTTAAAAAAGTCACAGATATGGCAGTGTACAATCCATTCAAAATTTTCACCTAAAATTAATCACAATTTTCATTGTAACAATTGTAAGAATTGATTGTGACAGTTTAATAAATCTCGAGCTCAATACAGTTTAATACACCTCAAGCTCGATAAATTCAGATCATTCACAATAGCTGCAAGATACCAATCGATAATTTTCCCCACTTTCATCCAGGGCCCACTTCCTAAAACAAAGTCACCATCATTCTTACAAGTAGCTGCATAAGGTCAATATCAAAGATGCCCACTTAATGAGGCCTAGCTAGAATCAAAAAATACTCAACAGAAGCTTCATCAATTTTCAAAAGACACAAGTATTCCACTCACAAACATCAAGTCGTATTCCATCAAACCAAAACCAGAAGTTCCAAAAAATATTAATGAAAACCGAAATTAGGAGAACTAGATAGATACAAAAAATTCCTGAAAAATAAAAAGTTACATTAATAAAAGGTTAAAGCTCTAAGCTTTTGTACATAGTTTAGAGCCTCGAAGAAGCATAACAAAAGTACAGTGAAATAAAAAAACACAATAAAACCTCTAATCACCATCAATTTCATTATTTCTTGTTTAGCCTAAAAAATTCAATTCTTGAATGTATGGTCATACCCACCTTCTGATCGTACCCACGTTCATCACTCTTGGTACTTGAAGAAGACTCGTAAGAGGTAGAGAAGAGATGTGGAACGATAATGGAAGAGGCCAAAAAAACCACGTCTTAATTTCGGGGAAATGGGAGAGGAGTTTATTATTAAATTAATAAGGGTGTTTATGGTATTTTTGAATATTCATATTCTGACCAGTTGATAACCGAGCAAGTGAAGCGCACGCTCTGTTAGAATTGACGGAATTTTGGATGGAAGCTACCCACTCACAACCACATGGGGGTTATGTGCTCATTATAGAACCACAAGGGGGTTATGTGCGAAATAGCGAAACCACAAGGGGGTTAAGTACTATTTACCCTTTCTTAAAATTATGTATATACGCGTGTATATATATATATATATATATATATATATATATATATATCAATTAATTAGAATACCTGAAAATATTTTGGTCCATGAAATTGAAAACTTGTAGCATATAAGCCTAACTTTTTCATCAAAGCATTATCTTCCTGCAAATACCAATTACTACATTCTCATAATTTGCGGTGAAATTAATTAACTAATTTACACCAAAATCACCCTCAGTTATAAATTTGTCCCACAAACCCTAAAAAGCATAAAAAGATGAATCAAACAACAACAAAAAAATACATTTTTTTACCACCACATAGAGAATGCTCGGCGAGGGGTGAAGAGAGAGGAAAGAGGGGTGGGGGCGGCGCCGGTGGAGAGAGAGGAGACAGAACCGGAGGCTGAACGGAAAGAGAGAGGCGTAACGGTTAATAGAAAAAAGGGAGAAAATCAGATCTAGAAAGGGAAAAAAACAAATATTATGTATTTATGTGTTCAACCCTAAGATACCTTATAATAAGATAAGGGTATAATTGTGATAATTAACTATTTTTTATTAATAAAAGATGTTTTGGATTTATCTTAAAAATACAAAATAAATTTGGGCTCATTGTAATTGCACTTGTGTGATGAGGGGGTTTTGTCAAATTTTCCCTTTAACTTTTACAACTTTAGTATATTAAATCTTATATATAAAGGGGCTCTTTGAGGGAACCCCCTCATTACTTTTTTAAATGGAGAGAGGTCTAAAATATTTCTCTCCATTTGAGAAAAGCCCACACCCATTTTGAGCTATTATGTTTTCCAGCTTTGCCCCCGCCCGTCACATCATCGCTGGGTCACGCGCTCAGCAATTTTCTTTTTTTTTTTCTTTTCCGTTTTTCCATTTTTTTTCCTTTTTTCTGTACCAGTTTTCTTAATCGACTATGGAGCATAGTCGATTAGCCTTAATCGACTATGCTTCATAGTCTATTAAGGAAATTTAAAAAAAAAAAAAATTATTAATTTTTTTTCTATATCAGTATATTAATCAACTATGATGAAGCATAGTCAATCAAAAGTCTGCTACTAAAAATAACAAATCAAAACTGCAAAAAAATGCAAAATCAACTATATTTCACAAAAAAAACAAAATATAAGAACATTATAATTGATTTATACAATTGGAATCAATAAACAAAAAAATCCAAACAAAAAAAGAAAATTGGAGTCGATCAACCTTAATCGACTACCAGAGCATAGTCAATTAAGAATCTGCTACTAAAAATAACAAATCACAACTGCGAAAAAATGCAAAATCACCTATATATTACAAAAACAAAAAATATACAAACATTATAATGGATTTATACAATTGGAATCAATAAACGAAAAATCCAAAAAAAGTAAAAAAAAATGGAGTTGATCAACCTTAATCGACTACCAGAACATAGTCGATTAGCTTAATCGACTATGAATATGTACATAGTCGATTAAGGTTTCAGCATGCGCGAAATTCTCTACACGCTTCGTTGTCCGCCCAATCCACCAAAAAACCCTAATCTGCCTCCCCATCGTCACCACACCGCTGCCACAATACATTATTCAACCAATCCCTAACAAGAATAAAATAAATAAATTAAATAGTTCATACAAAAAAACACAAATTAGCATTTCAATGTCCACAAAAAAAAAAAAAAAAACAGAAACGATTCAAGTTATTTGTCAAAACCAACATCAAAAAATAATAATAAAAAAAATATATATATATAAAAAAAAAAAAGCAAATACTTCACCAACATCAGTTGCAACAATGATTTTCTCATGCCTCATCCTCATAGCCGTCAACCCACTGCGTCTTCAACGATGAGCGCCAGTCATCATCTTCAACGTCGTCGGTGGAAACCACCGCCGCGAACTACAGATCCATCATGCGGCGGTGAGAGGCGGTGACAAACACTCTCCACCACCACCATCAGTCGACGTCTTGCTTTTCTTCCGAATTTCAGTCGAGAAGAGAAGAGAGAAGAGAGAAGAGAGAAGACGAAAAGAGAGAAGACGGAAAGAGAAGAAGAGAGAACGGCAAATGAAATGAGTTAGGGTTTTGAAGAGATTTAATATTCATAAGGATGTTTGTGAATTATTAAAATATATTTGGGTAGGATATTAGCTAAGGGGTTTTTTCGAATTATTTTTGGGAGGGGGTGTTTCGTTAACTCATTTTCCTAAATGAGGGGGTTCTTACTAATTATCCCATATATAAAACGAGTTAGCCTAGGACAACTCTAATGGGATCTTTATAATTATTTCCATTTATCTATTAATTTTCTAATTAATTGTTTTTCTTTCTTAATTATCTCAATGGTTCGATTGGCATCTTTGTAATTATTTGTAGTTCTCTACTAATTTTCTAAATATTTTTTTCTCTTCTCAATGGATCGATTTTTCAGTTTCTATGTAATTTCCTTTTTTCCGTTATGATTATTGTAAAAAAAAAATTCTCTACGAAAACGCTCAGCAATCTTAAGATATCTTTATATCAAAAAAAAAAAAAAAATCTCTTCTGTTTATGGATGACTTTTTTCTTAATATTTTCTTAACGTGTGCTAGAGGCGGACCCAAGCTTTGTCTTGGGGTTTGCTGCCCCTGCAAGAATTTTTTTTTAACCATTTTTTAATAATTTTTATATTTATTTATAAATTATAGTATGTTCCGCCCCTCCTAAAAAAAACTTATAGTCTATAATTTTTAAACTTAAAAATTCCAATAATTACTAATATATTTTAGTTTTATACTTATTATTCAAATAATTTGAAATACTTAATTTCTGTTGTTGATGTTTATTGGGGGCATTGCCCTTGAAACCCTGTAAGTTCATAGTTCATTTTGCCCCAAAAAGTTAAACCACCACCACCATTCCCCCCCCCCCCCCAAAAAAAATTTGAAATGACACTAGGTCTGCCCTGATGTATGCGAATTTTCAATATCATATTTTTAAATTATTATTTTCCTCATTTTTGGAACGTCATCCCGTACATCACATGGGGAAAAATACTAGTTAGATAAACAAACAAAATGACCATTGTGGTGGTGCTGGGTTTTGATTGTGCTCGGTACTCTATTATTTATTATGTTAATATTTTGTGTTCAGTTTGTGTGAATAATTTAACTACTATATGTAGCAGTTGTATACTAAATTATAAATGATGAACTAAGTTTTAGGCTTTTAGCTCTTCCCCAAAATTTTATGTACTATATATAATGTCATGTCCACGCAAAGAAAATAATAATAATTAATAAAAGAAAAAGTATTATGCTTTTTGCTACTCGAGGCTAAGGTTCTTGGATCATACAATACATATTGTTATTATTTTATTTTTCGCAAAAATTCATGCAAAAAACATTTATTTTCTTGGGATACCCTTCTTGGATTCCTCACTCACACTCTTTTAACCGTAAGAAACTCCGCAGTTGCGATTATCTTTTACCATTTAAATACTTATAATTTCAAACTGCTAATATTATTATCATTATTTTTTCAATTTGTTGTTTTGGTAGTTAAGAAGTCTGCAGTCAACTATATATGGTGGCACCGATAAAATTTAATTCTTGTGCGTTGATTTAAAAATGTTGATAAAAAATTTCGAACTCGAATCCTTTGTTAACAGGCTCTCTTACTCCAAGGATCATTTATTTTAATCTTTGAATTTAAATAAAGAAGCACTTTCAAATTGGGTTACAAATTGTTGAGTTCCTGAATTTGTGTAGGAGTAAAATAAAATTTCAACAAGTAACTTGCAAGAAAATAAATGAAAAGGCTTTTACTACAGGTTTCGATATCTACAAAGTCAATGATTCTTTGCAAGTTGTGAAACTCACTTCGTGACAAGAAAATAGGTATTAGTGTTGTACTTATTTATAAGATAATAGTACTATTCTTTTCTCATTTCCAATATTTAATTATTTATTATTATGGAGAAAAAAAATATTTCAAATTATAATATTATACTCCCTCCGTTCCTAAATAGGTGTCGTTTTTCACCTTGGCACAAATCTTAAGAATCTCAATAAATATGTCTTGATTTTAGGAAAATAGGTATTGATAGACTAAAATACCCTTGTTTATTAATTAATGCATGAAGAGTGCTATAGAGTTAATAAGGGTAAAATTGAAAAATAAGCAATTAATGCATCATTGGAATTGTAAAGTGACAGATAATATGGAACAAAAAAAATTCTCAAAAGAGACAGATATTATGGAACAGAGGGAGTATTTGCTTTTATGTAGAAATACATATTAATTGCATTTTTTTCAATTAATGGATAGAAGATTATTAGAGAAAATGAAGAGAGAGGATAATTTAGTCATTTCCACTTTTTTTTTAATAATTCAAGCATATTTATTAACTATTCTTTAACACGTGTAACAATACAAAAGCGACAAAAGCAAGCAATAAAAGGCTAAGGTAGCCTTGAACATCAAGATTATATTATTCTAACTTTCCATCTTATGAAGTACTTTATTAACCAAAACCCATCATTTATTGGCCAACTCCCACAATAATAATGCAACAGATAATTATAAATATAATTTTCCATAATGCAGCAGATAATCATAAATAAAACAGCACAATTCTGCATTTCTCTATCTCTCTCACTATTGGTGTTCAATAATGTCTTCTGACTCTAATAGATAGAATTAACAAATATGTTTCTAATTGACCATTTATTTTTTTTTTGTTCCATTAAAGATAAGATAAAAAATGTAACAAAACCCAATTTGTATTATTGAATTTTAGAAGGTCCAATAAGGCGAGGATGAAATTGTTGTTTTAATCACTAAATACAAAATTAATCTAACCACAACTTGACAGAAAAATATGATAGAAAAAAGGGTAAATTACAAACACCCCTGAGGTATGGTCAAATTACAAAAACCCCCCTCTTGTTTGGATAATTACATCTACCCCTCTCAACTATGATTTTTTCTTAGACCTCCACCTTTATGGTGCCAAATTTAACATAGTCATCTAGATTCCGTGAAATGTGATCTAGTTTGTACTCTTTTTGAGTAAAAAATACAGTTTCCGATGCACCACAAACTGATATATACAAGCTAAAAATCACATATTATGATCATCTTGCTTCATAATGTAGAGTTTGAATGGGATAAAACGGGTACAAAAGTGATAATATTCCATATAATCTCGAAGATTCCACTAAATTTGATGAGTTGAGGGGGTGGTTGTAATTATTCAAACAAGAGGGGTGTTTTTGTAATTTGACCATACCTCAGGGGGGTGTTTGTAATTTACCCTAGAAAAAATTGGAGAAAATAATAAAAATATGATAGACAAATTGACCCTTGACATTCTCAATTGCTTTCTGCTGATAACTTTACACTAAAAAAGAAATGCAATATATTTCAATTCAAAACCCCACCGCTGACTGATTAACAAATAATTGACCATGATTACTCAATCTTAACCACCATTCTTTTTAATCCTATGAACCAACCAGCTGTTACAGAAAAGAAAACTCTACCATCAACATGCTTCATGGATTATATAATCCATGATTCAAATAATAAGAATAAACCAACATTCTCAATTACTGGTAATTCCACATTAAATAAAAAAACATAGTCACCATCTGAATCAAGAAAATCCCAGTCATCTCAATTATAGAGAGGGAAAAAAACTACACATGGACAGCAACAATCTAACGAACAATTGAATAAATATTACAGAAATTATTTGATCTTACATGTACACGCAAACATATTTATCTTCAAAACAGATACGAATCCCAACAAAAAAACGAAAAAAAGAATGGTGACAGAAATGCGAGAAATGGCAACAAAAAGGGGTAAGCCTCAAAGACTCGATAGCTGCAGTAAAATGTAATCTATATTTGCATCTCTTTGTGTACAAAAGTGCAGACGAGTCGATATAAACCCCCCTTAAATGACGGGGGTAGATTCTATACATGAATTGTATTATTAACTTGGATTCCAAAAAAGAAAAAATCAAAAAAAAAGAAAGAACAATGTAATACAGCTGCTGCGTTTTTCCAAACCTCTCCTCATAGGTCGGAGTTTCACCTCACCACCTCCTCCAAACAAAATCTGTTATTTTTCCTCGTGATCTTCTTTGAGGATATCCAACCCTAAATTCCATCGAGTAACTTCAAATATTCTTTTGTTCTAGCCAAATCCTACAGAATAATAAGAAGGCTTCAAACACTACTTAGGTGTAGCGGTTCGTCTTCGTACGAAGGCTGCAAACATTCCCAAGGGTTGGCATAAAAGTAATCCTCTTCTTTAGGTCGATCGGGAATAACAGATCTCCTGATAGGGTTTCCCATTCTTTCAGCATGAACATCTTTAACGGCATTCGAGAACTCGTCCCAAGATAGTGAACCAGTGTTGTACTTGTCTATTATGTCCACTAATAGCCTTCTCTCCAGCAATATTGTTTTCTTGTATCCAAGATATCTGAACCAAGGTAATTACAAAATAAAAATCGAGAGGTGCCAGACAAATATTAAAAACTTCACAAGCTAACTAAATAAAGAAATTAAGGCAGCCTCGTTTGGTTGGTAAGATAAGCCATGATTGATTAAATAATTAGGTGTAATTCTCATGTTTGGTTACTGCAATAGCTTTTCAGGCTGTCCTACGATTATGGTTTTAATTCGCTCTTATCTATTCCAATAATTCAATTGGATTCTGATAAGATTGGCTAATCTTATATTAGGAAACAAACGGGGCCTTAATTAAATGATTGCAATTTCAGTTAGCTCTCTGCTTTTGCATGTCATAAATGGAAGAAGGATAATAAGACGTATAGTGAAATATAATCCGATATCTTGTTTCACGGCGAGTTTAAATACCCATTATCACAATTTAACGCAAACAATATACCTGCGATGGCCTTCAACAACTTTAGCCATATTCCCATCATATGTGGGAACGAATATATCACTCTCCAGTGAAACAAGATAATCGAGAGCTGCCATTTGGGACGAGTGATTTTGGAAAAACCTAAGGTCTGAAGATTCCAAAAGTGTCTCTTTCCTCACCTGTTATATATACCATAGCCAAAAGAATCGTTAATAAAAGTACACAAGACAGTTGAAAATAAATTAAATAAATAAATAAATAACCAAGCTATTGTTGCTGATATTTATCTACTACTAACCAAATTTGGATAAGATGCGGTAAGACTAGATAATCTTCTTTCTCCACCGTATATTTCTCCAGCAGCTATATAAATTTGAATATTGCGATCGATATCTAGTGCACGTAATGTGAGTGCAGTTTCCTCGGGGGTCAAAGGGCATAGACCTTCTTTTCTTTTCATATTAGAATCAATAATCTTCTCTTTCCACCATGGGTAAGCATATCTAAAAACAATATTAATTTAGTAGAGCAATAATAATACAAAGCATAATTACCGAAAATACAAAGAAAATAGCTAATACCTCATTCTCGTTAATTCTTCGACCTCGTCCATATTGCAGCCCTGAGTACAGCCAGAAAAGGCTAACATGTCCATTTCATATCTGAGATGAAGTACGATGAAAGGACCGTTTTGTCTTAATATTTTGATAACTTTTCGACCCAATTCTTCTATCTGAGGGGTGAACTTTAAAGCACTAAAGTTAACTCTGCAACGGAGCCTCTGAATGTCCATTGGCTGTTCGTTGTTTGCAAGACGAGCATCTGTTCTGTTCAAATGGACGACTTTATATTTCTGAATCAATGGAAGAATCTGCACGAAACATGAATGAACGTTATAAATAAATAGGAATTAATTAGGAACATCGTATTAAAAGCAAGGTTAAATACAAATTTTGCTACCTGATTGTGATAGTACGAAATATCCGACCAACTGACAGGTGGCATTGTATATATCATCCCTAATTCTACTCTCCTCTTTACCCTCGGAGGTAGCTCCTTTAGTATTCGAACTTCATCTCTTAATGACGTAACGAAATGATCCACGTCGAAGATATCTTGGAACTCACTGCAAAAAGGTCGGAAAAAAAATGTTAATGTTTATTGACACTGGAAATATCTTGTTTTTAGGTACATTTCAATTTCAATATTTATAAATTTTGTCGGCGAACAAACCTAGGATCATTCCAAAAAGAAGTCTTGTCGAGTTCAGGGACTATCAATGTAACATTTAGGTATCTTGCAATTGCAACCATGTCGCATATCTGTAGCAAAAAAAACAAAGGCAAGTTATAGTTAGGAAAATTAATTCATATGGTAGAAAAATTAAAGAGGTCGAATATGTTCGTATAATGTATATAACCCACCGCTGCCCGCATTTGATTAAGCCCTCCATTGCATGAAACCATCAGGTAACCATTGTTCTTGTAAACCCCTTCAAAACAATACAATTAAAATCATAGATCAGCACCAGTTTTTAATGCAGCAAAAATATAGAAAAAGCATTCAAGAATTCAGATAATAGAAGATCACAAATGGGAACAAAATATAGTACAAATAAAAGGAGAGTGCGAGTCATCGGATCTCTACGATCAATAATTACCAGTGAGGAAACCATAATAGTTCATTACCTTGAAAAATTAATTATTGAACGTGTTTAAGAAGTAATTAAATAAATTAATTATTGAAATAACAATATATTTATGCTCTAATGCACTCAAGGAATCTTAAGAGATATCACAATTCTCCAAATACATTATCCATCAAAATCACGAAAAACGCAGTCGAATCATGTAGTAGGACAACCACACAAAAATCACATCCTCGAAAACAATCCATCACATGAAACTTCTCCCTCATACACAATACACACTTCAACAACTGTCATCTTCCAAACGACACCCAATATTCTGAAAATTACATTCGCACATTCGCAATAACTCAACTAACTCTACACGCTCTAATTCACTCGACGAGTACTACAACATACAACAGTTCTCTTAACATATCCATCAAAATCCCGAAAAATTAGAAACACAGTCAAATCATACACACTTTAAATAAACAGCATTGAACTCATCAGAGATAACACTCACTCTTGGGTGGAAGAACTCTAACGGGAAGTTCGAGAGACGAATGAACATCTAAGGCAACAGCGCCGGATTCTTGAGAAAAGCAAGAAGGCCAACCCTTCAAAACACGAGGCCCCCAAGTTTCGCTCAAAGCCGTAAGCTGAACTAAACAAGTCCACAGCAAAATCGAAGTGGTAGCCCTAATCATCCAAAGCTTCATCCTCGACCGTGATACCATCCCACTATTTCTAAGCTTCTCCAATCTCTCACCACCAAACGACCCCGTTTTCAGCCCCATTTTTCACCCCCAACCAGTTTCTACTTTTATTCCTTATTTCTACTACTTATATTCTGCACATGCCAACAACCCCATAGAACGCTAGAAATATTAAACTGCAGTTTTGCTTGGACTGTGTTGTCTTTGTTTTGTTAACAAAATCTTGCGATCCGGAAAAAAAAATAAAAAAAGAAAAAAATGAAATCTTTCCTTCCCCGGATTGGGGGATTGCTGTAATATAGGAAAAATGGCAGGGGTATGGAACGGAATCGAGGGGGTAATAAATTGCGAATCTAAGCGTAGAAAGAGCCAAAATTGGTTCGAGATTTAAGCCAGGATTCTTTCCCTAAAATGAAAGTCAAAAGAAACAATGCTCATATTACAGGCACATTGGTCAAAATTACAGAAATAATGGCTCGATCTTCACCACCGATCCCAGGTGGATAAAAATTGAAGTAAACTCGATTTTTCCGGCGGAGAAATGAAAAATGGTCGGAGGAGTAATCGGGATAGAGATCCGGCGGCTATCCCGGCAAGAATTTATAGGGCTCACCGGAACACTGCCGCAGGCGACGGAGGTGTTGACAGAGAGAAGAATGTGAAAAATAAGAGAGAGAGAAGAGAGAGAGGAGAGAGAGATAAGAAGGAAAAAGCGCGTCGGTTGGGAAGGGGGGAGATGTACGAGTGCGTGTATTGTGTGTGTGTGTGTGTGTGTGTGTGGTGCAGAATAGGAACGCAAATTATTTATTTTATTTAGAAATGAGAAAAAGAAAGAGAAAAGAAAAGGGAAATGTTGTTTTGTTTGTGTGTTGTGTGCCCTTGTGCAAATCAATGAATGTGATTGATGAGCTCGCTGTGGTTACCCTCGAGTCATTATTCTGTGTGGTAACCTCCACCGTATTATTTACCTACCTACTCCATCACAATTTACTATCTCCCCATTTCGATTCAAAAAATTTCTCACTTCACAACAATATCTTATGTTCTCAATTTCTTGAATTTGGGTTTTTGTTTTTTTTTTCAAAACAAATTTGATCGGATTGGAATATATACATAAGATTTCGATTCCCAATCCGATTTTAATTCTGGAAAAATGTCTTGTTTTTTTACAAATTACATTTATATTATCAATATTATAATGTATGTTGTATTATAGATGGATAAAATATTGAAATTTCGGAATTTGGTCAATTCTAATTAAAAAAAATCAATTTTGGGACATTTATTTTCACTCAATTTTGTGATTCCAAATTATAAATTTTCCAAATTTATTTGACCACATTAGGTATTAGAGCAACTCCAATGGAGGAATTAAATGGTATAATTTCTATTTTGATGCTCAAAAACTTAAATTTTCATCTCAAATGGAGGAATTAAATTGGGAGTTAAAAATATTCAACTTCCGAAGATGCAAAAATGCATTCTGGAAAAAGAGGTATCAAAATATTAACTACTCAAATAACCTATCATAAATTGACATGTGTCAATTTTAAATATTTTTGTACTTATATTTAAAATTTGATAATCCATTTAATGCTTGCGATTGGAGTAATGAGTATCAAAATAATAAAACGAGCATGAAATTAATATTTGATGATCCATTTTTATGTTTTGCCACTGGAGTTGCTCTTAGGTATATTGACAATACATAGAATACCGCATTACGCATTAGGCATTAGGTATATTGACCACTATTTTGATACTTCGAAATTATTTTTTTATCCTTCAATGAAAGTATCAAAATGAGTGAGTATATTGATATTCCATCTCTTTAGATACAAAAATACTTCGTAGCGATTGAATTTTCTAACAAATAATCACCAAAAGATACAATTACAAGTTGAATGTGGCATTTACAAATAAAACTACTATAGACTTCCAATTAATAGTTAAATTGATAACTATGGTTGAAGTAGACGAATTTTAAATTGATATAAAATATTATTTCAAATATCAAATAAGAATTTAGTAACTCTTTTGTTATATTTTATCATTGGAGTTGTTTGAAATGTAATTAAATTCGGGGATTTAAGGTCACCCCTTGTCGACCCATAAAATTACATTATATAGGTAACTTATGTAAATTTAATATGCCTTCAATATATTATAAATATTGCATGTTCCATGTCTATAGTTAATTGCTTATCGCAATTGGCGTTGACAAACTTCGAGTAACTTCAATGGTAAATATAAAAAAATGAGTTATCGAATACTCATTTGATACATTTGATACATGAGACAATTCAAATATTATTTGAAAATTCATCTAATCAACCATAATTATCAGTTGAAATATTGGATTTTATAAATAAAATACTTATAAGTTGATAATTGACTTTACATAATAAGAATGTTTGATATATTAAAGAACATCAACTAACTTCACTAGAAAAATATTTTTATCAAAATATTATATATGTAAAATATAAATATTACTTTATATGCCATAATATTTTATGAAGTGGTGTGTCTTCTTTGCACTTGTTAAATTAATATATATGATTTAATTATTTAAGATCCACTATAAGTTGATTTTATATAATATTGTTAGTACAAAATAAAATATATACCAAATAAGTCGAAATATGACCACGCACTAGAATGTTCATAACAGACCGAGCATAGTAAGTTTAATATTTTATTGAACTCCATGACTATCACTATCAACTCGCGTAATCTTTATTGATTAAGGAGGTTTTCGAATTTTTATTCTTGGATGAGGATAATTAAGAGAAAATAAATTGATTAGTAAAAATAACTAAAACATTATTTAATTATAAATGAATTTATCGTAATAATCTAAGAGATAAAAAATAAAAAATATTACTCAACATCCTTTTTTATTGTTCTAAATTCTAATAATCACGATACTCCCATCGGTGCAATTTTATTTGACTCTTGTCATTCTGGGAATTTAATTCCTTATTATTGTCTTATCAAAAAATTGAAAAGAAAAATCTTATTATTTTTTTCTTACCAATTTTACATATACCATAGAGATGCTAATGTATGTACATGAAATTAAAGTGATTGATATGATGTCGAATCACAATGAATTTTTTAAGCTGAGTTTTAAAGAAATCTTATATATAAAAGTAATAAATGTTATGATAATCTAAGAAATCGTAATAACATCTTTGTAATTATTATTTTTTTTTTCTACTAATTTTGTAAATTAAATTATATCGCCTTGAAAAGTTCAAAATTTATGTGATCTCCTATTTTTCAACAATTTTTTTTCTAATTATTCTGTAATGAAATCTTTGACTCTATAATTTTTCATACCAAGTTGGGTAGCAAATGGTTATCAATCCTAATCCACTACCAACAAATGATTTTCTTTCATCTAATTATTTTTTCTTGTTAATAACATTGACCAACGTAAAATGTTTAATTCAGGATCAGAAGGGCAAATAAAGGTCTCCTATATTGATACAATATTTTTTTTTAAATTAGAGAAATTTATTTTCTGAGGTTTTAGTATCATTTTTCATTTTGTATTATATATTAATAATAATAATAAATAAACAAAATTCACGAGCCTAACACTTGAACTATTACAAAGCAAGTACAATGTTTCTTATTACAATTGTTATTGTTACATGTTTAAGTAATTATGCTATTCCGTACATTGCACGAGGACAAATTACTAGTTGTTGCAAAAAAACAGCTCTCTAGTCTTGAATTGATTTAGTTGAAATCGAAAGGCTTGAAAGAGAACTTTCTATCCGGGTTAGAGAGTAACTTTATTTCTGCATTAATAAAATAAAATTAAGTTAGGAGTAATAAACATATTTAATTTGTGTGTCATAATCTTAAACGGTGATAATATGACACGAGTATTTAAAAAGCCAAGCATTAATAATGACACGGCCATTTGTTGACCACTCAAATATAAGAAGTGATTGTTTTTAAATGTTCATTAACTCTTAATAGAGAAACAAAAGGGTTATGATTCCCTGCAGCGTACTGAAAGTTCGACCGACACTCCAAAAGGACCAAAACACCTAGAAATTCATATGATTGGTCAGATGGGAGTGTGGGGGTATATGAGCTCGGCCACACTGGATTAATCCCTGGCCAACTACGGGTTAAATGAGCGCAACGGGAAAGAAGCAGAACTACAGCCAATTGAAGGGCTAGCCAGCTAAACTGGCCCCACGAGAACTAAGTTTTTGTCAGACGTGTCAAAGATCGCACAGCCTTGTATCGCCACGTGGCGATACGAGATGACACTTCAACAACCTCCGTATCGCCGATTTATGTTTACAATATATGGGTCTGTCCCCCTTCCCCACCAAGACTGCCGACAATTTTTCGTGAGATCTCCCACCACCCTAAATATCGTATCGCTTTTCCAATATCGTATTACTTTTCCAATTCCACCTTTTCTTATATTAAGTAGGCCGCATGTAATTTGACGTTCCACATAATTATTTATGTTGGTGAATTTTAATCACAGCTCCACAAATAACCACAAAGACAAACATCTATACGCATGCGTATTCAGTGAGTGGTTATTTAATTAAATTTAGGGATTTTTGTGCATAAGTCCCCAACCAAGTATCTTTATTATTTTAGGTTTAGGGCTATATCTCCCTTTTACTAATAAGTCCATCTCTTTAATATTTATTATAAGGGGCTATATGCCAAACACCCTCCATTGAAAATTTACTTCTTGAAAAATCTTTTATTTGTAAATGATATTTGACATAAATTCAATGGGCCTAAAAAGCCATATATGCCCCCACTAATAATTAATTAGTATAATTATTCAAATTAAAAAAAATTATACACATAATCCACCCAAATCTTATCCAAAAATCATACCCCAAATCACACTACAGATTTATGCCCAAATTAATGCTCCCAAATCAATTCTAAAAATCTCATTTTTATTTCTTTTCTTATTTTCGATTTTTTCATAAGATTATTTGATTTTGTTTTTAAAAAAAGTTTATTTTTCATTTTTCTAATTTTGCTTTTTTAATATTTTATACTCATGTTTTTCAAATTTAAATTAAAAAAAAATTGTTTTTAATAAATTGAAATTCACTATAAACTTACCAAAAACCACTACGTGATTATAGTATGCCGTCACGAAAATCCATTATAAACTTATCAAAAATCTCTATGTAATCAACTAAAACCACTAATAAATGAAACCACTCTGTAAATTAATGAAAATCACTATATAATTAGCAAATTTCATTACAAAAATCACTAAAAACTTATCAAATTAACAAAAAGCACTCTATAATTAATGAAAATCACTCTGTACTTAACGAAAATCAATATGTAATTAACAAATTTCATTACAAAAATCCACTAAAAACTTATCATTAACGAAAACGACTATGGAATTAATGAAAACCACTCTGCGTGCAAAAATCACTCTTACATTAAAGTGGGTCATGTACATATAAAGTAGTCCTCCCCATACTTAACGAAACATGAACCAAGGTTGGACAAGTATGTATTCTCAAACCCAATTCTTACCCGATAGAAGAGTCCATCTCTCCTACAGATGAGATGAAATACAAAAATAAACATCGACAATTGATAGGGGAGAGGAGATAACCCCCTAGTTTTGAAAATATATAAGGATAGGTCCTATGAATTTTTCTTCTCTAGTCAAAATCTCAAATTCTAATCTTAATTTGATAGACCCCCTAGACAAATTAAAATACCCTGTTTTGGCCCTTTTAGTTACAATTTAAAACCCTAACCCTTAATCTTTTTCTCCCAC